CCAATATTCAGATACACTCAAAATGTCCCCCCCAATAAATAGCACAACAAAAAAAAGTTTTTATTTATTTTGTTTTTTTATTAAAATAAAATTGCTATTCTATGACTTCTTTATTTTGGTTATTTGTATACTTGAAAATCTATATTTTCTGTTATTGTGAACTTCACCAAAATGATATTTCTTTTCATATGTAAATTGGTTCCTTATTTTGTACCCAGGGGTGTATTTCGCTGTTGCACGTCTGAGTCCACATTCAGTTAGCTTGATGCTCCAAGCAGGTCAGTCATGTTTTAATTTGCCCTCCATCAGTTCTGGTATCTTTTTCTAGTTAGCCCTAAAGTAATCTATATTATTTTATTTCGTAATGGTAATGTTAATGAACCCTCCGGTTTAGCTTCTTTGTGTAAGTAACTTGTAGTTCTGATGTTAAAACCGAACTTTTCAGGAATAGCTGGTTAACTAGCTGTGGGCTGGCTGGTTTCAGTTGCTCGCCAGGGTTTGGCGGGCTAGTGTCAGCTATGTGGAAAATGACGGTGTCGTTTTTTATGTAATCCAATACATATTTATTCATGTAGATTATTTCTATTTTATTTTGGCATTTGTAGAGTGTAGAAATATTTAAAACTGTGATGTGTGACATCTAAGGAATACCAAAGGTGCCAGAATTAATTAAATAAATACTCTACAATTATTATGAAATAGTATTTCATAATCGTCAGAAGCATAGATTTAATCCCTAATTTTGCTCTCAAAGTGCACCAGATTGATGCATTTCACTTCAACATTTAAAGGGGACCTATCATGCAAAATGCACCTTGTACGTCTTTTATACATGAATATGTGTCCCCGGTGTGTCAGGGAACTCACCAAGTGTCAGAAAACACAACTCTCTCTCTTTTCCTCCATACCCAAAATCTCTAAAAACGAGGCTTTAACGGATCTGATACAGACTGATACAGATTTGAAAATAGTCTGACGTCAGTGACGAGGAGCTCCGCCAATATGGCCAACTCTCCACCAATCAGGGGAATGAGAGGTTGCCATGGCATGGTAACATCATGGTAACATGACGCTCGTAACTCGGCCCCCTCCTTTGCAGGGGGGCGTGGTCAGCTGCAGCGCATGCGAAGACAGGGGTGGAGGAGAACAAAATGGAGCGAAATGAGGCATGGCTAAAATGCATGATCTGTTTGGTATTTTGAAAAAGAAAACACATAAATATACCTTTTATATAGGTATGGCCCTACAATATATTATTCAAATATAGCATGATAGGTCTCCTTTAAAATAAACTATACTATGACTATATATGTTTTTGATCACCCTTTAAAAGGACTTTTTTCATGGTATTTTTGACATAATAAATTGTGACTTTATAGATATTTTTAGATATACTATACTAAGATGTTTTGTGGTGTTGTAAACATACTATTACTTTTTCCATTATATTTGTTCACATACCATACTTTAATCAACATGCTAAATTAAATTTTCTTCTTTATTTGATATTCAGCAGCGTTTTCTAGAGCCGAACACACATTTGAAACCATCTTTTGTAAAGATACATTGTTGAAGAGGTGCAAGGCTTAAAACTTGAGAGTGTTTGCCTACAGTATGTGTCTGCCCCAGTTTAACCTCTGGCTCCTAGAGTCATTATTGTACTCTTAATAAAAGAATGTGTTCTCAGATTTCAAATGTCCCCCCTTATCCTCTCTTGTGAGGGTTTTATAGGATCATTTGAGTAAACAACCTGAGGGACTGATTTTTACCCCATATCATATCCTCAGTGGGTGTCTATCTCCACATACAATACTTTCATGCAAGCAAGAAACCACATAGTGTCTGAAAGCACAAAGCAGGATCACACCCAACACCTCCCTCCTTTGCCTTTATACTTTAATAACTAAGCCAACTAAGGCTTGCTCTACGTGTCTCAATGTGGTTTCCTCGGACAAACAGATGGCTGGTTTGATTTCAGATTGTACAAGGATGTAGTGTCCTGTTTGTTTTTCAACTGCTGATGTATGAATAAGATCATTATGGGTGGGGAAAAAAGGGCTTCGTAAAACATGTAACACAAACAGTGTGCCTAACATAATATAACTTTTTTCCAAAAAAAACTATCAGTCAAAACACTTTGCAGCCCTGACCTCCTGATTTACTCACTTGAAAACAGAAGGAAGGAGTTTTGCATGATGCAGAAATAAAATGTAAAATATGTTATTAGTAATATTTAGTTCATTTTGTATCTGCAGCATCATCAGATACAAGGTGAACATCATATGGATAAGTCTCAGTCCTGATCCAGTTACCTGCAGAGTTCTGCAGGTTTTCTCTCCTCCCAGGTGACTACAGCTAATGATTCACACCTGGTGTAATGCAAGAAAGGCAGCAGAGCAGAATCTATTGAAAACCACACTTCACACAAATTTTTCTGATTACACAGCTGTGGTTTGTCAAAGGGCGTTGTATTTGGATAAGGAGGGTGAAAGTGAGAGCACCTGAAATTAAAAGCAGACGATTGTTTTCAGAAGACATGCACAGAAGCCCCATGATGAGATCTGGCTGGATTAAAGCATTCCTTCTGGCCTTTGCCATGGCTGGGTCTCTTCTTTACCTCGGCTCCATAAAGAAGGAGGTTCATACCCACTCAGAGAGACTCAGTAGAGCCCACCACAACGACTCCATCAGGGGTCAGGGGATGCTCAACAGGATGGACAAGATGGAAACAGACATCAACAGACTGCGTGAGTCTCAATGGGCTGCTTCTTACCTTATCAAATCATTCAACTTGATTTCAATACTTAAGCATTTGATTTGTTGTTTTCCAAGTCAAAAGATTAATCTGAATCAAGTTTATTGCCAGCTACGTTTACACATACAAGACATTTGGTTTGGTATCCGGTGGTGCGTACGTTAACAATCTAAAAACATTAGTTGCAAAGTAGGTGAAAAAAAGAAATATATAAGGATAACAAGTATTTTTAAGAAACAATTTAGCATTAAAAAGAATGCTAAATACAAGTATTTACACCAAATGTATTATTTAACTATACAAATAATATGTCTAGATTGAATCTGGACCAAAATTGGATGAAAAGGAAAGTGTTTTTTAGATATTTAAATGTTCCAACTTGTATAATAAACAATGTTTATTGGATAGGGCTGCAGCTAACACTGGTTTCCATGATCGATGAATCTGCTGATAATAATAATTGTTATTGAAAGAAAAATACACATTTCCCAAAGCCCAGGTTTATTTGGTAAAGTAAAGCAGCAAGTGTCACATTTAAAACTGGACAATATTTTATATTTGTCCCTTGAAAATAGACTCAAATAATTAAATAATTATCAAAATATTCTGGCTGTTCTAAAAGGTGGATGGGCTGTACATGTCAAAACTCCCCAGTGCAACAGACTAGTGTTTCTGATTGACACTAGGCTTATGCTGTTATGTTATAGAGAAGAAAACCTGTATTTAAAGTCAGTTGTATTAAGCAGAAGAAGGGTTAAACCGTATCTTTTTGTCAACAGTCAATGTGATGAATAAACTTGAAAAGAAGGAACTGGTGAACCAGAACAACGCAGAAGTGAAGAAGGAGAGGAGCGTGGTGAGGAAGCTCTACCCGAACTCTTATCTGTTCACCAAGTGGGGGGACGATCTGTCGGAGGAGGAGCAGAAGGAGGCCGAGAGGTTGTTCCAGAGCTATGGATACAACGCCTTCCTCAGTGACCGGCTGCCCCTCAACAGAGAGATCCCAGACACCAGGCCGGCCAGGTGAGGATACTTACTGTAGGAGATAATAAACTATTGTTAGACCTGTCACTCACCGCTGGAGCCACATTGAGCTGCTTCATGGGGCTTCCTTATTTGAGAAACAAATGATGTTCCAGGAACAGGACAGGAACTCAGTTTATCTGCCTATAATGGTGACCTAACAAACACACTTTGGACAGATAATAAAACCCACTGATGAGATTATATGACACATAATTCAACGTTACTACTTTTCAATGTAGTAGAAAACAAACATTTACATTTTTGATTTCAGTTTAATGTCCAGATATCACATGAGCAATGGTTGATGAGGCTTTTGTGTGACTAGGATGTGACATTTACTGGTTGTTAGTCTTAGTCTTTTGCAATATTAAGATAGATGTATTCGTTTTTTGGAACAAGTAACACAGATGTTAACTTAGGTCGCTCTTTAAAATTCACTATTTATTGACCTTTTGTAGACTCACTATACCTCTATTAATAAAGAAAATGATTAATGGATCAATCAATTATAAAGTTAATTGCAGCTCTTACTGAGATACATCTTGGATACAAATGTGTGTCTGCAGTACCCCACTCCTGCAGACACTCCATGTTCTGTTACGCTGCTGTTTGTCTTTTAGTCTCTCACTTCATGTTAGAGCCATGTCTTGTTAGCAGTTGCTAAAAAGGATGGACGTATGCTGATGTGAGATTTATGCTCGATGTTTTTCATCTGAGTGAGTTTATTATTTGAAAATATCAAATACTGCAGATATAAAAGTAATAAAGTGGGCTGAAAGCTTCACAGAGCCAGGTTGAAATGCTTCTGGCAAATTATTTCTAGTTTTAAACAAATGGCTTCTCACAGCTCCTAACGTATTCAATAACTTAAAAGTAAAGCCTGACTTGAGGCAGCTGAGTCATCACAGTAACTTCTCCTCCGGAAAACATTACTCATAGAGCATAACTAATCTTGTTAAACATTCAAATGTAGAAGCCGCACAATGAAAAACCAAGATTTGTGAAAGGGCAGAGACTTTCATGATGAAAGACGATCAGCATTTTTTTTAAAAACATTTCTAAATATCTATTATTAGGGACAAAAATGCAACATTTTAATTTTTTCCCTCTCAGGTGTGCTGATAAAAAATACCCTAAGGACCTGCCTTCCATGAGTGTCATATTAATCTACCTGGATGAAGCACTTTCTATCATCAAAAGAGCCATTCGCAGCATCATAGACAAGACACCAGCTCACCTGCTGAAAGAAATCTTACTTGTGGATGATTGCAGCAGTAACGGTAGGTCCAAGGTAGTGGAGGTATTTGAATGTTTAAAGTTTCAGTTCACCCAAATTACTCAAGATATTATCTCTTCTACCCCAAGCTGTATGTAACGATGGATAAAAGCAATCATCATCAAGCTCTCACATCTTCAACAATGTATCTTTACAAAAATTCTTTAAACATGCATGTGTATGTCGTAAAAAGTCATAGCATGTTGTGTCAAAAAAAGTCTTACTGTACTATGTCGAAAATGTAGTATAAGTAACAACATAGTATAGTATGTCTAATATAAAATAAACGACAAAGTATAGTATGTTGAATGTTCACAAAAAACGACATAGTAAAGTAAGTAGCAAACATAGAGTAAGTCGAAAATATGCCAAAAAAACGACATTGGACATGGAACATTTCAGAAAATAGCGACATAGTATTGAATGTCAAAAATATCAGAAGAAAACAACATGTGTGAAAATGTCATTAAAATAAAAAGTGTTTGAGGTTAAAAGTTGTGTCAGAGATGTTTTGACTTGACTGGTGATCCGCCCCCGGCTTTGCGACCTGCTACTGTTGGTGGACTCGGTGAAGAGTCAAACCGACCCTTCTTTAAACACAGAGTTTCATCTACCATGCTTATTTGGGGTTGTTTTATGCTGCGTTATGCTCATTCATAAAAAACATGTGCATTTATGATCAATTTGTTCACAAGAACACAAAATTGTTAAAAATAAGTAACTTGCAGAACAGGTGAAGCTTGCATACATGTGTCCATTGTAAAGGGCGTATTATTTTCGTACACATACTGGAAGTTTACTTCTTTCAACGGCTTCTATGTTGTGTGACCCTTTGACTGCACATCAATGCAGGATTGTAACATTTGATTGGACAAGTGATTAGGGATTTCATGATTGTTTGATTGATATGGCCCATTGGAATGAATCTACCTCTCCGATTCCTCTCTTTTACATTTGCAGAAGATTTAATGGAGAAATTGGATGAATACATTAACTCTATCCACGAGGAGCGTCCAGCCCTGGTGAAGAGAGTCCGCCACTCCGAGCGGCTCGGCCTCACTCAGGCCAGACTCTCGGGGTGGAAGGTTGCTGTGGGGGAAGTGGTGGCCATCTTGGATGCTCACATAGAAGTCCATGTTGGATGGTAGGTCTAAGCAATAGGATTTGTCACACCTCAGTTTTCATCTCTCTGCGTAAAACTCTGTGTTTCTGAAAACTGTGTCTAGGGCAGAGCCAATGTTGGCTCGGATCAAAGAGGACCGCACCGTGATACTGACACCAGTGTTTGACAAAGTCAATTACGACGACCTGAAACTTATCCCCTACATACCAGCTGCGGATGCCTTTGACTGGGCTCTGTGGTGCATGTACGAGTCCTTCAGACCCGAGTGGTATGCTTTAAAGGACGACTCACTGCCTGGAAAGTAAGTTCAGGAGCAGCTGGCAGGGAAATCACACAGACAAAAGAATCCTTCCACACTTACAGTAAAGGTCACGTCTTTCATACATAAATGTCCCCTCTGCATTAAAAGATTCGGAACATTTCAGGTAAAAAGATTCTCTCTCTTTTTGTCCTGATCAATCTATATAAAAACCTGTCTGAAAATGAGCTGATCAGATTTTGGCCAGTGATTTTTTGCTTGTGTAACCATTAGCCAATAACCAACCAAGGTAACACCCGCCCACCTTATCACCTGAATCTCCTCCTAGAGCACCATTGTTCCTTATCAAACCAAACACTTTGCATAGGGCCGTGGTGGGTGGCAGTTCATTATCATTTAAAGATACAGACAGGGCTGAAACAGAGGGGATTATGGGATACAACAATGCATGCCATAAACATGTTTTGTACATATCTGAGACTTATAATATATTGTAGAAAAAGAGTATAATGTGTCAATTGGGGAAAAAGTATTTGTTAAGTAGAGCTTGCTACCAGACAAGGTTTTTATGGCACATAACCCCAGAACAACTTTTTTACCCTTTTTTTACTCGTTTTAAAATGTACTAAGAAAACAGCCAAAATACAACATGAGTGAGTTTTAGAGGTGAACATTTATACGTAAGGCTTTATTGGACTATAAGAATTAAAAGGTTAATTTGTTATCATTGAGAGTTACAGGTTGTCATAGGAGGATTAAGTGGAGTCTTACTACTGCAACGCCATGTCAATCTGTGTACTGCCAACAGACTGTAACACGCCCTGCAGTTTTTTTGTTGTTCCAGCTAGTTGTTTTTCCATTCAGTAGAATGTTGAAATGGGAGAACCATTAGAACAGCATGCAAATATGTATCTATATACTAACGATGTTGACAATATTTCCTTTACCAGTGTCAATGTTATAAGTCACTTCAAAAATATTGGACTTGGCTGCAGAGGATATAATAATTCTCAAAATGTCAGTCAAGGAAAAGAAAACTGTACGTGGCTTAAAATAAACATATCATTTGTTTGAAGGAAGTGACTCTTGAACCACTTTACTTACTCTGATATCTGAAATGCATTGACCATGGATGAAGTATAGCTGGTGTTTAATTTCAAAATCTTAACAAGTTAAATTGTGACATGTAGGAGCCCGGCCATCATGGGGATTCTTGTAGCTGATAGCAAGTTCTTTGGAGAGATCGGAAGCCTTGATGGTGGAATGAAAATATACGGCGGTGAAAATGTGGAACTCGGCATCCGGGTGAGATTTTCAGGGGAATTTAAATTGACACCATTTTTAAGATGCTACTCCATTGCAATGTTAATATCGGCAAGGAATCAGCTAACAGAATACAGTACATGTGTTTAACGTGTCTAGAATGACCCATTAATGCACTTTTTAAATATTTGACCTTTCGTGTCTTGGCAGGTGTGGCTGTGTGGAGGAAGCATAGAGGTTATTCCTTGCTCTAAAATTGCCCACATTGAACGAGCCAGCAAGCCTTACCTCCCAGATTTGAGTGGAATGATGAGGCGTAATGCTCTGAGGGTGGCCGAGGTGTGGATGGATGACTATAAGAAAAATGTCAACATTGCCTGGAACCTTCCATTCGAAGTAAGGGGATGACACCTGAATAAAAACGATATATTTTTAAAACTACATCTTATATCCTTAAACTGTAGTTCCTATATTTTTTTGTGACCTTTTTGTTTCCTCACAGAATCATGGGATAGACATTGGGGATGTGTCGGAGAGGAAAAAGCTGAGAGAGAGGCTGAACTGTAAGCCCTTCCAGTGGTATCTGGATAATGTTTACCCCATGCTCGACCCTTTGAAGGACCTGCTAGCTTATGGAGCGGTGAGTAGGAAGAAATATCAGATGGCATGCTTTAGAAGGCTTTAAGGATTAAATGAATATGTTTGAGACATTTTTTCATAACTAAATTGTCTCCACGTCTATCAGAAAGTAGCAAGTATGTATTTGATTTAACATTGTCATGTTAAGTGGTGGTTTCAAACCTGTGTAGTTTTTACCCAATGTCTGCAGGGGCGAGCATCTACATGTATGGGTTGAGACTAAGATTGATTTAGATTATTATTATTTTTTTTACAATTTGGAATACATTTTAGAGGCCTAAAGAGGAAAACTATTCAATACCTCACAAAAGGACTGATTAGAGAAACCAATATAATAGTTTATGTGTTGCGTTTGTGTAATCCACCTATTTAAATGTTAGAACTGTGCTAGACTCTGTCTGTATCTACAGATTTACTCTCTGGAAGATTGTTATTTTTCTTGTAGGAATCATAGTAAAACAACCTGAAATTGTCTAAAACGAAAAGATAAGCCTGGTGGAATTCTATATTCTTCTTCAAATCCCATTAGAAAAAATAAAACCACAGATCAGTACTTACCCCTGCTTTGGTTTTTGGTATTCATAAAGAAAGAAAAGATATATGAATGAGGCTGGAGCCTGATTTTTTTTTTTCTTTAACGTCATACTAACTATCTCTGCTTCTGTGTGCAGCTGGTTAATGATCTGATGCCTAAATTCTGCATTGACCAAGGCCCAATGCCTGGGAACACTCCCATTGTATATGGTTGTCACTACCAGTTCAGCCAGGTATGTTCAAAGTCCACTGTATGCACCCAGACACTAATTCAGTTTTGGTTTTGGAATATAATAGCTTTTTGTTGTAGCACTGTTATTATCGCACCAATGGACAACTGTACATCGGTGGAATAAAATCTCACAAGTACAACAGCAACCGCTGTCTGTCAGACCCCGGCTCCGGATTAGATCCAGGACTGTATGAGTGCAAAATGGCTGAGCAGAAGAAATTCCACATACTGTGGGATTTTAAACAGGTACTTTTTAATACAATTTGAATATACATATGCACAAAAGAGGTCAGTCTTTTTGGAGGAAAATAAATATGTTTTTTTTTCCAGGACGGAGCTATCCAGAACAGAGAAACAAAGAGGTGCCTGGAAATAATGATGGCTGGACCCAGCAATTATAAACTGGTTATTCAGCAGTGCACCAGTCAGAGATGGAAAATACAATATCTCATCAAAGGCCAGCTTGGTGGGCAGGGTTCAGAAGACAGGATGATAAAGGAGCCATGATTCAATGACAATCTGCAGCTCAGTGAAACACATGTTTGCTTTTGGGGCAAGTTTACATTTTTGCTTTGGACGACTTGGATCTACGAGAGGCAAACTCTGTGACAAAATGTATTTCAATGATTGTTTGTGAAAAATATAACATTGTGACAAAAAATGAACTACTAAATGAATGGTCATTTATTTCATTAGTTTTAAAAAAAAATTGTTGCTGTGAACATTTGCTATTACATTTTCTTTGTGCAGAAAACCCTATTTATGAGGAAAAGATTGGCAGTAAACGGCTTTTAATACTCCCCACAGTACGTCTGAATGTCTAGTTCACTCAAAAAATACATACCTTAATACATCAGACAGGAACATCCTGAGGGTATGTTTTCAGCCAATCAATAACACAAACAGTATTTCCAATTGTTTTAATACAGGCCTAAAGATGCTTGCTATAGCTAATCGCGTTGATCAGGATCCGTTGTGTGTCTTTTGTCATGTGTGTTTAAAGATGAAGGCGTCCCATTTGCGCTGCCACATGACGACCCCTTTGTCCTTTAGATGGTCTGGCAGGGAGCTGTACCTGCAGGTAGAAGACCTTTCAACGCTTTAACATCATTAGGTTGATTGTAGGCTAAACATATCAATGTTTCTCCACCATAAAGTAGAAATCACGTCCTATAGCAGGGCTTTTTTCACTGAGGGCCACATACAGAACAACATATTAAGGGCTGGGTAAGTGAGGTATATTGCCACATAAGTTATAAGATAGCAAAATCAATCAATGCAGGTAAATTGTGCTTGATACTTGAATGTGCTTTAGGCTACATCACAACTTTCCTTTGGGTTTCATTTATTTTTTACAAAAAGTGTACAACGGAAGCCTCAAATTGCTTATAAGGGGAATTAGGAAGGGTATGTTTCACGCTTGTTATGTAAATACATTTTTTATCAAGATATGTTAGGAAATGTTTTCAACTTTAATTGACTGAATTTATTTGAAAATTGTGTAATATTTATATATTTTTCAGAAGTACAATATAAGACAATCACAAGTTTCATGTGTAGGCCAATTAAAAATGGATCATGGGTCGCAGTTGGCCCCCAGGCCGTAGTTTGGACCCCCCTGTCCTACAGCCTTTGTTTTTCCCACTGAAGGGATGCCATTTATGTAATACAGTAAAAATGGGGCCTGAGAGAGATCAAATCAACGGATTCTCACCTGATGGAGTTCAGAGCCAGCTCTTTCAGAGTACCCAAGTTTGCTTTTAACCCTCCGATGCCAACAAAGGCTTCATAGAAGTCGTAGGAGAGGCCCGTGGTGCCGAACAGAGACGGGTCATCGGAGCTGATCACCATCGGGTGGCCCTCCGACATCAGCACAGCGGCAGGGTGGTTCCTCAGGTCCGATACCAGTTTCAGCACCTCAAGGGCAGAACACATTCAGGTTAATAACATATGGAAACAGGTGCTGGTGACTTCACCACACGTGCACACTTATTGGTGCGTTCCAGAGAAGTCTGCGAGAGTCCAAACATTTTGTGGACCTCCAGAGAGTTCGCTTGGATTGGAGCCCAAAAATGTACCCAGAATCCAAAATAGAAATTGTTGTAATCATAAGTATTACTGTAACTTCATTCTCTGTTTTTTTCCCACGGTTTGAATTCACATCTAGCCTCTAATTTCCACTTCCTTAGAACAGACAAAAGGCTGTCTCTACAACCATGGGTTTGTAATGAACATGTATGCAAGAATCCACCGTCTGGCCAAATGTTTTCCTGTAATGTACTGTATATTGCATAGCTGTATGTAAGTTTCAACCATCTGGTCAACACTTCCTGTAATGTAAATTTGCTTGCTGAGGACCTTCCCTCCTTCTGTAATGTATAAAGTGTTTGTATTTTCTGTTGTATGTGGTCAGATCTTGTACGAACTTTTTGGTGCAAGACTCAGTCCTTTCAGCTGAAATAGGTTAACTGTTAAATGCTTTTTGACTTTTATTGACTTTATTAAATAACAACATTTTGCTTTAAACTTCTATTATTTGTTCATTTCTTGCCAAAAAGGTTGTTTCTGTTTTTGTGTGGAATTTCCTCCACACAAATTATCTTTAGCATAGTGCTATTTGTCAATTTTGATTATGATTGAGTGTTGGAGATATTGGCCGCAGAGGTGTCTGCCATCTCTCCAAAGAACAGACTAAAATTCTTCTCCATGGTTTCTCCATCATGCCAATGAAATGGGTTACCATCTCACCTGGTTTGAGATGGGGCACAGCTCCACAGCTACGTTTCTTTTCCTAGAAAGCTCTTTGGCCAGAGGATGGTGTGCCAAAGCAAAGCCATGCCCGATGCGTGTGGTGTTGAACAGAAGGGCGTCCATTAGGTTTTGATCTACGTCAGTGCCTTCCTCATCTAAAAACAAACCAAATCATACTTCAACAGATTCATAAAGTTGGGAAATATTTCAGTTTTTGTTAATAAAAATTATGTATTTAGTGCTTTTAAATCTAACCACCTGTTTCGCCCGCGTGAAAGAAGTACGGCAGCGTGACACCCATCTCAGCTGGCAGAGAAAGAGCGTCCCTGAAGTACCACAGAGTCCTCCCACTGTCCTCCCTGCCAACCTGAACACAAACTGGAAATTCAGGGAAAGGCTAATTATGTCACCACAACAATCAAGATAAAGTGGTCCCTTAAAAAGCGCCTAATGTTCAGTTAAATATGAGTTTAATAAGACGGATCTCTTCTTACTGTACCATGTCAAATCCTGCAACAACATCTGGGAAGTCCTTCTGCAGCTGAATGGCTTCTTTCACAGCTGCTTTCACCTCAGATACACTCAGAGCCCTGGAGGAAGCAACATACAGAAATCATTCAGTATTCGACTCGCAAACAATAAGACTACTGTGCAATTTGACTTTAATATTATAAGAGACCCATCTCATTAATCTCCTGAGGATTTTCTTTGTATCCAATGTTAGCTCTGGTGCTTCTTTTTGTATTTAGAGCCGTATATGTACTGCACAGAACAAGTAGGGAGACAACATACTAACAGCTGGTGCATCTGTTATATAGCAATGTCACCACAAAAATCCTTACAACATCCAGAAATACGGTACCGACAGAATAACACTTAATGAGAAACATTATAAAACTGCTTTAGGATGATGAGTATTAAATTGGTGAAGTGACCTTTTAATAAAACTAAATGTCTGTTTCCAGAGAACAGCAAATGCAATCATTGAGAATTAATACATTTAATAATAGCTAGAGAATGATTTGTCCAACATGGTTATAGTTAAAATTCATGGCATATTTTTCCAGTTTGTTAAACGAAAAAGTAACCATCTTATTAACTACTTCAAATCTGTGTCTAAAGTCAACATTCTTATTCTAATTTCTACATATAAATACTACATTTAAAAGGAAAATTATGTACGACAGTATACTATCATTTTGGACATTGTTCTCATCTCTCAAATTATGCAAATAAGGAGTAATTTGCATTACAATTAAAAAGTTGAAGTATTTAGAGATGACTTAAATATCCGTACCTGTGCACAGAAAAGATGATACGAGCCCCAAGAAAGTCCGGATGATCCTCTTGAAATGTCCTTGTAACCTCTTGAAATGTTTTCAGAGCCCACACCTTATCATGAATGCTTCCATCAAGCTCATACGTCTGAAACACACAAATGAAATGTTCAGATGTAGAAGCTGGAATAAAATAGAGACAAACAACTTCTTTCTTCGACTACACAAGTTGCGTGTCATTAACTTTACTGTTACAATTAGAGAGACTCAGAATCAGAATCCCTTTATTAGTCCCAGAGAGGGGAAATTTGCAGCGTTACAGCAGGAAAGACCCACAGACAGCTTAGTGTTGCATATCTTACATGCGTTAAAAAAAGTACTAAGTTATAATATAATTAAAAATATGCTATAAAAGTACTAAGTTATAATATAAACAATATGCTAAAAAAAAGATAAAAACTAAAAAAGTTACATCATTTTCAAAAATACAGATCAAAAACAAATCAAATCCTGTAGCAGTTCTTAGGATTTAGCAGCCCGGTATATATTACAGTTATTAAAGATGGCNCACCGGCAGTTACCCCTACATTTTGCCGCCCCCGTCACCTAGCAACCAGCGAAAATATTTTGCCTAGTGTCAGAAATTATTACCAGCACTTGTGACTGCAGCTGGTTGCTAGGTGACGGGGGCGGCAAAATGTAGGGGTAACTGCCGGTGACGTACAAGGACATGCTCCGTAGACCGTCTCAGGAGGACCCAGCCTCTGAATTGGGACACAGCTGCAGTCTGTCTTCCGGTTGTTGCCTCTTTTGAAGGAAGAAGGCACACTACCGCCGCCTGCTGGTAAGGAGAGTTATTGACACTCACGCATACGCAGTTCATACGTGCTCGGCTCGGATTTGCGGTGTGTTCCAGTGCGCAAAGTAGGCAAATACGCAGGAGAGTCCGGCGACGCAACAGTCGGTGTCGGCGTCGGCGACTTCTCAGGTGACTGGCCGGTGTATCTGGGCCTTTAAGGTTTTCAATGTATAGGTGGTCATTTGAGTAGGTCCCAGAATAAAAATGGATGTTAAATGGTTATAATTGTATGTATCTGTAAATAAAAATCAGAAAAAAGTGTATTACGAAACATTTTACAAATCTGGTATACTGTGGGTGTTCACCTGGTGGGGTCCACTTGGGTATTTTGCCCCCTGCTGGGCTCAGAGGCAACGCAGGTTTCGCTGTGAAAACTGTGGACGATGAAGGAGGTCTTTTGGGTGCAGCTTGAGCTGTTGGAGGACTACTCACTGGTGTGGAAACTGCTGTGAGACAAAGTAGTTCCAATAAATAATACGTTTACGAATAAGTAAAATAACAGTCAAGAAAGCAGATTTTTAATGAACTTCAAGAACGTACCCGCTGCCGGTGATTTAGACTTTGGTGGATTTGATGGTTGCTTTTCTTTTTTAGAGGCAGAAGGTGGTTTGGTCTTCTCGTGCTTGGTAGCTTTCTGCTTTTTTGATTTGCTGATTTTCTTCACTGTGAATTCCTCCTCGTCGCTCTCAGCTGGTTCACTGAAGTCTTCATCACTCTCTGAATCTGGAAAGGATTTTTTGTTAATAGTTGTTTAAAAAATGTAAATCAAGTATTAAAAGAGTGGGGCGGCAGGGTAACAACCTGGTGTCAGTTTGGGTTTATATTCTTCATCGTCATCTTCATCGGCAAGCGTTTTCTTCTGCGCCTCAGCGGCAGACTTTCTCTGTCTCGATAGGACCGCTGACTCCCTCTCTGATGTGATATCATCCAGGTCTAAAGAAAAAATAAATAAAAGCATTAAACATTCATACCACTTATCAAACAATATTACATTCAATGTATTTGGGCAGCATGTGGAAATTAAATGTGCAATAACAGAAAGAAAAGAAGGGAAATGTACCCAACAGGACGCTGCAGTTGGAAAGGTGCAAAGAGGTCGGATCAATGTTTTCATCGACTGGAACTTGAACCTTGACATCTCCTTAAGAGATATAACCTTCATTTAAGTTGACGACTCTTCAAAAATAGACAATTGGATTTATTTTGTCAGAGCTTTATCATACCTTTACTGTTGTCTGACTGTTCTTTTATCCCATCTGCATTATTGAGCAAGGACAATGTAATGGCTGCTTCTAGATCCCGTTCAAGCAGCTTCACATCTAATGGTCTTCTGTGAAAAACAGAATTAACGTCAAGAAGATTATAATGCATAATGTTTTTCAGATTTGTTCTCAAATATCTTAAATAACATACAAACTGATTAATTATTTTTTTACTTTACATTTTGAAGACTTATCCCAAAGGGGAAAAAAAGAAAATAACAATGACACAAAGTCATCCCAATAAAATGTTACCCTCTGAAATGAGTTGTTATAACTACACACTACTGTTTATCCACTAGAGTGAGATGTTGCTTTAATCCAAAGCACATACCTGAGGTGAACTACGCCACATTATGTGTATGTAGGCTATTGTTGACAGCCAATTTGAATCAAATTACATGATACAATCTTTATTTGGATAAACTTGGGGTATTGCTAGCTCTCTCTCTCTTTCTGAATTTGTGGTATTAAAATTAACAAAGACATCATTACGTTATCATTTAATTTAACTTGTAGGCTGAGAGTGCATTCAATGTTATTCATGCTAAACAACAGACTTAATTTATTCACACAAATCTCAAAAGGAATTTCAATGTTTCTCCCATTCCGAGTAATAATAAGTCATCTTGTGTTCCACATTTTGTCCCATTATCTAGTCTTTACTGTACCTGCTCTTCGGGCTCTGTGTGGATGGTGAGTCGGACTCCTGACTGGAGGACTTGCTCGATGATTTCATGTGCTCCTGTTTCACCTCCTCCCTGGCCTTTTTCCTGGGTGGAGCCTGAGCAAAATCCTCATCTGTCACAACATTAAGACAGAACCATTAGATATGTTAGGTGGGAGAAGCAGAGCTGAAGCCAATAACATTACATGATGATGTCATGATTTGTAATTGTTAATGCAAAAATGCTGTTTACAGCCTCTCAACAGGGGACATGTTCTTCTTCCAAATGATCAACTAGATCTAGAAAATTATGATGATGATTCATCAATAATGAAAATATGTATTAGTTTCAGCCCTGTTATATTTACCTCTTCATATTTACAGTATGAGCTGTAATTGCTCTTTTTCTTGTAAGTGTTGCAGGCAGTAAACCCATAAGATAGGGTAACTAAAACCTTATTAAGTGTTCGGTTGGATGTCTGGTCAATATTGCTAAAACAATTCATACCTGCCATCCCTACCGATTTGGGCAGTAGTCTACCGCTTTTGACATGTTTCTACCGCCTACCGACTTAGCTGACTTTCCCTACCGATTTTCAATCTTCCTAAACTATGACAAATAAAAATGACATATAGACACTGGACTCGACTTTTGGCGGACACCGTTTGCAACGTGTCTGTGATCGCGTCAAACAAACAGTCCTCTGTGTTTCTGAAAGAGAAACAACGTGCAGACCGGGGGTAACGAGGAAAGGCAGCGTTACCCCCGGGGCTGATGGGTAATCACTCCCAAATGACAAACAGACCGGGAACAGAGACAAGACATTTGAGTCCCGCAGGGTTTCCCCGTTAATATCAGTGTCTCGAAAACACATGTTGGCGACTGAGAGACATCCAGTGTTTGGTCTTTTCCTGAAGCATCCTTCACCTACAGTGTCTCAACTGAAAGAGGACCACAAACACACACAACATATAATACCATTTTGAGACTTGGGGATATTTATCTCCATTCTTTCACTTTTTCTG